GTCCCTGCCCTCCCACCCCAGCCTCCCTCCCTGACCGCAGCCTGTGTCCCTCCTCCCTGCTCAGGACTACGCGCTGCAGGCGGACACCTACCGCTGCTCCCTGGAGCCCAGCCAGGCGGGGTCGGCCCCCAAGAGACCCCGAGTGGCTCCCCTGCAGGAGAGCATCCAGACCCAGGTGAGGCGGGCCCCAGCTCTGTAGCCTCGGGCAGGAGCTGGCCTCGGGCGGAGCTGACGGGCCCTCTGCCCTCCCTTCGGCCTCCCAGGAGAAGCAGCTGACAGAGGCCTACACGGAGGCGGTGGCCGTGCACCAGGAGCAGCTGCACCAGCTGGAGTTTGCCAGGAGGATGCTGGAGAAGGTACGGAGGCCGTTCCGTCCCCGCAGGAGGAAGCCTGGCCAGCTGTTGGCCCAGCCGTCTTCCTCTCCCCTCTCCTCCCTCCCCGCCTTCTCCGGCTGGGGTTCTGCCACCCCCAGGTCTCTCCCAGCAGCTCTTCCAGGCTGGGCTCCGTCTCAGAGGAAGGTCCCGGAGGGTCATTCAGGGGCTCACAGCTCAGCCGCTGGGCAGCCCCCCAGTGGGAACAGGAGAAAATGCCCTCAGTCTTCAGCCTGAGGTCCCAGGAGAGGGCAAGAGGCCCCTAGGTCTCCTCTCCATCACTCTTGGTGACTGGCCGAGGGACTCGCCAGCTTTTCCTACCCAGAGGGGTGACCCAGCATCCCCCAGAGGGGTGTGGACCCATGTCTGGGAGCCCGGAGGGACGGGGAATGGGGAAAGGTTGGGAGGGGACACGTTTCCTTGCAAACTTGGCCCGGACCCTGCCTCGCATCCTGCCGTCCCGGGCTGGACGGGTCCCCTCTAAACCCTGCATCCAAGCACCTCAGGCCTCAGCTCCACCTCCCAGAACCTACTGGGGAGGATGTCTCAGGAAGCAGGAGGGTCTCTGCCCTCCACCGTGCTCTCCCCTTCTTCCCTCTCTGCAGAAGGAGCTGAGTGAGGACATCCGGGTGGCCCACGGGGCACAGCAGGGCTCTGAGGGCCCAGCCCAAGCGGGCAGGGAGGCCGAGGCCCTGAAGTCGCAGCTGGAGGAGGAGCGGAAACGGGTGGCCCAGGTGCAGCGAGAGCTGGTGGGGCAGAGGGACCGGCTGCTGCAGCTGCGGACCCAGCGGCCCTTGGAGAGGCTGGAGGAGAAGGAGGTGGTGGAGTTTTACCGGGACCCCCAGCTGGAGAGCAGCCTGTCCCGGGTGAAGTCCCAGGTGGAGGACGAGGGCAGGAAGCGGGCCGGCCTGCAGGCAGACCTGGAGGTGGCGGCCCAGAAGGTCGTCCAGCTGGAGAGCAAGAGGAAGGCCATGCAGCCTCACCTGCTGACCAAGGAAGTGACCCAGATCGAGAAGGACCCGGGTCTGGACAGCCAGGCGGCCCAGCTCAGCGGGGAGATCCAGCATCTGGGGGCCGAGAACGCCGCCGTCTCCGCCCGGCTGGAGCAGCTCAAGGCGGAGCTGCTGGCCCTGGAGCAGCAGGAGGCGCAGGTGAAGGAGAAGGTCGTGGTGAAGGAAGTGGTCAAGGTGGAGAAGGATCTGGAAATGGTGAAGGCAGCCCGGGCCCTGAGGCTGCAGATAGAGGAGGACGCTGCGCAGAGGAAGAGGGCGGAGCAGGCCGTGGCGGAGCTGCAGGCTCGCATCGGGGACCTGGAGCGGGCCATCAGCAGCGTGCAGCCCAAGGTGATCGTGAAGGAGGCCAAGAAGGTGGAGCAGGACCCAGGCCTTGTCAAGGAGGCGGCCAGGCTGCGGGGCCTCCTCGAGGGGGAGAGGAGTAAGAACGCGGCGCTGGCCAAGGAGCTGAAGGAGCTGCAGGGCAAGTACAGCGCGGAGGCGAAGCAGAAGCCCAAAGTGGAGCTCCAGGAGCGCGTCCGCGAGATCTTCCAGGTGGACCCGGAGACCGAGCGGGAGATCGCGCGGCTGCGGGCCGAGCTGCAGGAGACGGCCAGCAAGCGGAGCGGCGTGGAGCAGGAGGTGGAGAGGCTGCTGCCCGACCTGGCCGTGCTGCGGGCCCAGAAGCCCCAGGTGGAGTACAAAGAGGTGACGCAGGAGGTGGTCAAGCACGAGAGGAGCCCCGAGGTGCTGCGGGAGATCGACCGCCTGAAGGCTCAGCTCAACGAGCTGGTCAACACCAGCGGGCGGGCCCAGGAGCAGCGCATCCGGCTGCAGGGGGAGCGCGACGAGTGGAAGCGGGAGCGGTCCAAGGTGGAGACCAAGACGGTGAGCAAGGAGGTGGTGCGGCACGAGAAGGACCCGGTCCTGGAGAAGGAGGCCGAGCGGCTCCGCCAGGAGGTGCGGGAGGCGGCGCAGAAGCGGCGGGCCGCCGAGGACCTGGTCTACGAGCTGCAGAACAAGTACCTGCTGCTGGAGAGGAGGCGGCCCGAGGAGAAGGTGGTGGTGCAGGAGGTGGTGGTCACCCAGAAGGACCCCAAGCTCCACGAGGAACACAGCCGGCTGAGCCGGAGCCTGGACGAGGAGGTGGGCCGGCGGCGGCAGCTGGAGCGGGAGGTGCAGCAGCTGCGGGCCGGCGTGGAGGAACAGGAGGGCCTGCTCAGCTTCCAGGAGGACCGCGACAAGAAGCTGGCCGTGGAGAAGGAGCTGCGGCAGCTGAGCCTGCGGATCCAGGAGCTGGAGCAGCGGCCTCGCGCGGTGCAGGAGAAGATCATCATGGAGGAGGTGGTGCAGCTGGAGAAGGACCCGGCGCTGGAGGAGTCCACGGGAGCCCTGCGGCAGGACCTGGACCAGGAGAAGGCCCGGGTGGCCGAGCTGCACCGGGAGTGCAAGAACCTGCAGGTCCAGATCGACGTCCTCCAGAAAACCAAGTCGCAGGAGAAGACCATCTACAAGGAGGTGATCAGGGTGGAGAAGGACCGGGTGCTGGAGGGCGAGCGGTCCCGCGTGTGGGAGATGCTCAACAGGGAGCGCGCGGGCCGGAAGGGCCGGGAGGAGACGGTGCAGCGCCTCCGGGAGCGGATCGAC